TTTTTTTCCTTTTTCTTTTTATTCTGCAGACCTATCCCTCTTTGCTCTGTTGTTATGATAAATAGCCAACTTGATAAAGTTGAAGGAAGGAAATTTTTTGTTTCCTGTAATGTTCAGAGTGTTGATGAGCAGACCCTATACTCAGAGGCAACAAGTAAGAAGCTGGTCTTATCTCTTTCTTGGGGTTTAGTTGGGTTGGGTTGGGAGTTTTGGTTGATTTGGGTTTTGTGGGGGTCAGGGGGGTGTTTTGGTTTGGTTTGGTTTTTTGCCCGGGTATGATAACCCACACATGCCAAAAAATTCTTAATTCCCTGTCATGCAAAGAACAAGTTAAAGATATTCTTATACATCGCTAGTAAAGGGCGAGTTGCCAACATCTATCAAAATTACAGCCCAATGCAGAAGCTCATGCCTGTAGTCCCAGCACTTTGGTAGGCTGAGGTGGAAGGATCACTTGAGCCCAGGAGTTCGAGACCAGCCTTGGCAACATGGCAAGACCCCATCTCTACAAAAAACACAAAAAATTAGCTGGGCATGGTGGTGTGCACCTGTAGTCCCAGCTACTTGGGAGACTGAGGTAGGAGGATCCCTTGAGCCCAGGAGACGGAGGTTGCAGTGAGCTGAGATCGCACCTCTCTGCACTGCAGCCTGGGTGACAGAGCCAGACCTTGTCTCAAAAAAAAAAATTTACAAAGTGATGTGTCCTTTAACCCACCTCCAGGACTTTATCTCACAGGTATAATAACTGCAAAATTATAATGTGTTAGATTGCTATCAGGTTCCAGTGATTGTGTCACTCATGCAACATTATTTGCAATAGCAAAAAAAAGCAAAAATGGCAAAACATGGCAAACATAGCTATCCATCAATAGGAGACTGGTTAAAGAACTACAGCTCACCTATAAACTATATTGTATGTATGTGCCATTAAAAAATGGTGAAATATTGTGATGCCATAAATAAGAAAAATATGTCTATACTTATGTGTGTGTAGACTGTCCCAGGAAAATCACACACATGACCTGTTACTTCCCAGGAGTACTGAGGTTCATCCATGTTGTTGACTGTGTTCACTTGTTTGTACCACTGTGTAATACTCCACATGTGACTATCCCACAATGAATGTCTCTCTTCCGATGACAGGCCTCTGACTATTACCAACGGGGCTGCTATAAACATTCTTGTTCATGTCTCCTGGTGGTGTGCATGGGCAAGAGCTTGGCATATACTTAGGAATAGGATTTCTGGGTGGTAGAGTATCACGAGTGTTCAGCTTTACAGAGGAATGCAAAACTGTTTTCTAAGCCTGTACCAAATTAAACTCCCACCAGCAATATATGAGATTCTTTTAGATTCCCATCTTCTCTAGCAATTAGTGAAGTCAGACTTCATTGTTTTTGCCAGTCAAATGATTATAAAATGACTTCTCGGTGTGATCTTGATTTGCATTTCTCTGATTACCTGTGTGGTTGAGTGTCTCTTCATATGTTTATTGACCATATTTTTTCCCATTCTGTGAAATTTTTGTTTGTTTAGCTTTTTTTGTATTTCTCATTTTCTTACTGATTTATAGATATTCTTTGTATATTTTATATCAGAACAATTTTTTTTTGTTGGATATATAAGTCGCACATACCTCCTTATGGTGTGTAAGTTGTCTTTTATTTGCTTTAAGGTATCTTCTTTATGAACAGAAGTTTTTAATGTCAATTTAGTTGCATTTATTACATTTTTCCCTTTATGGCTAATGCTTTTTGTATCTTGTTTAAGAAATTTATTTTTCCTCTTAAGTATGAAGCATTTGCAGGAATGACGGATAAAAGGAGCAGGTGGAAAATAATAATTTAAATCCACAGTCAATTTAAGAACTCCATTCCAGGCTGTGGTTTATACTTCCTGTCTCACTAAACCTTTCAATATCATAAAGGTGCCAAATGGCTCTCTTGTAATTTTAGTTCTTTTCATTTCCCTGACTATCTCTAATGGAAGTAGTAATGAACCATGAAATGGCCAAGTGGTGAGGACCTGGTTACCCAGGGAGAGGTAATACAGTATTGTGATAGTCAAAAGTTGATTCTTAATTTGGCTGCAAAATGAGAGTGGACAGATAGACTGAAGGGACAAATGTGAATCTAAACCCTCTTTTGTATATGTCTTTCCATTTAGAGTAGTCCATCAGATTGAAGTCAGTTGACAAATAATCATCTGCTGTTATTTGTTTGTTTAGGCATATTTATAAAGCTGAATCCTGCTAAGAGTCTGACATAAAGAGCTGCTGTTGAACTCCATCCCATTCTCTCCCCTCCAGAAGAAGCAGTTGTCCCCCGAATACTCTGCTTCCTCACTGCTGAATCCTCGTAGGGAGAAGCCTGCCAACAGTGACCTTCCAAAACAGCCAAAAAGGTGTTAGCATTCAGAATATGTAAGGAATTCTTACAATTCAACAGAGAACCCAGTTTAAAAATGGGCAAAGAACTTGAATGGACATTTCTTCAAAGAAGATATGGAAATGGCTAACAAGTATATGAAAAGATCCTCAACATCACTAATCATTAGAAAAATGCAAATCAAAACCACAATGATCACACCTACTAAAATGCGTATAATTTTTTAATTTTATTATTATAATTATTTTGAGGTGGAGTTTCGCTCTTGTTGCCTAGGTTGGAATGCAATGGCGCGACCTGGGCTCACTGCAACCTCCGCCAGGTTCAAGTGATTCTCCTGCCTTAGCCTCCTGAGTAACTGAGATTACAGGCACCCACCACCACACCTGGCTAATTTTTTGGTGTATCTTTAGTAGAGATGGGGTTTCACCATGTTGGCCAGGCTAATCTATAATTTTTTATTTTTAAAAATAGTGTCAATGAGGATGTAAAAAAAAATAGAAACGTCATACATTGCTGGGTGAATACAAAATAGTGCAGCTGCTACAGAAAAGTTTGGCAGTTCCCCAAAAAGTTACCATATGACCCAGCAATTCCACTGCTAGGTGTAAATACAAGAGAAATGAAACATACATCCACACAGAAGCTTGTACACTAACTAGTGTTTATAATAGCATTATTTGTAATAGCCAAAATGTGGAAACAACCCAAATGGCCATTAATCAATGAATGGATAAACAAATTGTGGTACACACACACACACACACACACACACATATACATACATATAATAGACTATTATTCAGGCATACAAAGGAATGAAATACTGAAACATGCTGCAGCTTGGATAAACCTCAAAAGCATCACATTAAGTGAAAGAAAACAATACTATGTTTAGAATAGGCAACTCCATAGAGACAGAAAGTGGATTAGGGATTAATATGGTTTGGCTGTGTTCCCACCCAAAATCTCATCTTGAATTGTAATCCAAATTGTAATCTCCATGTGTTGAGGGCAGGACCTTGTGGGAGGTGATTAGATCATGGGGGTGGTTCCTGCATGCTGTTACAGTGGTAGTGAGTGCATTCTCGTGAGATCTGATGGTTTTATAAAGGGCTTTTCCCCGCTTTGCTCAGCACTTCTCCCTCCTGCTGCTGTGTCAGGAAGGATATGTTTTCTTTCCTTTTTGCCGTGATTGTAAATCTCCTGTGTCCTCCCCAGCCATGCAGAACTGTGAGTCAATTAAACCTCTTTCCTTTAGAAATTTACCCAGTCTCGAGCAGTTCATAGCAGTGTGAGAATGGACTAATGCAGTGCTTGCTAGGGGAATGAGGGTGGTGGGCATGGAGGAGAGAACAGGAAGTGATTCAAGTGATTACTTACAGTACCGTTTTTCTAGGGTGATAAAGAAGTTTTAAAACTAGAGAAAGGTGGTAGTTACACAACATTGTGAATGTACTAAATGCCAATGAGTTGTACATTTTTAAATGATTAGGCTGAGGGTGGTGACTCATACCTGTAGTCTTAGCACTTTGGGAGGCCAAGGCAGGAGGAGCCCTTGAAACCAGGAGTTCAAGACCAGCCCAGTCAACATGGCAAACCCCATTTCTACAAAAGAAAAATTTTGAAAATAAGCCAGGCATGGTGACGGGTGCCTGTAGTTCCAGCTACTTGGGAGGCTGAAGTGGAAGGATTGCTTGAGCCCAGGAGTTCATGGTTGCAGTGAGCTATGAACATGCCATTGCAGTCCAACCTGGGCAACAGAGCAAGACCCTATCTCAAAAATAATAATAATAATAATCAGAAATTGGAACCCTCATACATTGCTGGTTGGAATGCAAAATGATGCAACCATTCTGGCAGTTCCTCCAAAAGCTAAACAGAATTACCCAGCAATTCTAGTGGTAGGCTTATACCCAAAGGAACTGAAAAGAGGGATTCCAACAGATCGTTGTACTTCAGTGTTCATTGCAGAATTATTCATAATAGCCAAAAAGTAGAAACAACCCAAATGTCTACCTACAGATGAGCAGATAAACATAATGTGATATATACATACAATAGAATATGATTCAACCATAAAGAGGAATGAAGTTCTGATACATGCTACAATATGGATTAACCTTGAACACATTATGCTAGTGAAATAAGATTTTAAAAGGACAAATATTGTGTGATTCTATTTAAATGAAATATCTAGAATAAGCAAAATTGTAGAAAATATATTAGAGGTTACCAGGGGGAGGGGAGTGGCAGGAATGGGGAGTTATTGTTTAATAGGTACAGAGTTGGGATGATTACGTTTGGGAAATAGTGGTAATGGTTGTACAATATTGTGAATGTAATTCCTGCCACTGAATTGTACACTTAAAAGTGGTTAAAATGGCAAATTTTATGTTACATATATTTTACCACAATTTCAGAAGGTTATTGTAATTTACCAAAAACCATTGAATTCTACACTTTAAATGTGTAAATTGTGTATTATATGAATTTTATCAAAACAAAGCTATTTAAAAAAACAAAAAAGATAATACTAAAACTGCAAGTAGAGGCTGGGCACAGTGGCTCACACCTGTAATCCCAGCACT